CTGCAGACCATCTTTTTCTTGATTTTCTCTGGAAAATTCAAATAACTGAACGAGATAGTAAGCGTTTTCCAAACCTTAATGGGTAATATAATGACTTGTACCTGGGAACTATGACGAAAAGCTGTTCGGGCAAAGCCGAAGGCTATCCTTCATTTATGAAAGATCATGACGTCATGGCATTCAGAGGGTTCGTCGGTCAACAAAAACGCAGAGAACCCCAAAACGACAAATGTCAGACCAATAACAAACGCATAAAACAAAAAGCCTAGAGTCTGTTGATGTAATATGGAGAATGTTTTGAAAGAATTTGTGAGCATGTTTTTGGTTACTTGGCAATTTGTCACCGAAGTTGCTGCAGCTTCCAATGGTACTCATAGTTGCGTAGTTTCACCCCTTTATTTTGGCAAATTAACCAGGCGAGCTATCAGGGATTTCCATATTACCATGAACGGAATGACACAGGCTCGTCTAAATTCTCGATGTTGAACGGAACAGTGTTCTATCAAGACTTGAAGTAGGCCCTACAGCTTCTCTTCTTACCATCACTTGCCACAAATTGTAAGAGAAATGCGTTGCATGCAGGTGACTAACATAGGTCACAAAATCTGCCGATCACCCTTCATTTCTTCGATGGAAAGTTTAAAGATAAGTGGGCCTCATGTTTTTGGAAACAATGTCAGCAGGAATAAAGGCTGGCTGTTTGTTACACTTAATCTTCCAAAGACGGGTGGAGGGACGAAATGCATTATCTTGTTTAACAAAGTGGACATAAATATATCAGATGTGTGCCGGTTAACAGGTGGGAGGTCATTTCCCCGAGACCATTTTGCAGCGGTGTAGCATAAACGTGGAGCAAACCAACCGGTGGATGAGGTAGCGTCATATCCGTGACTACAGAGACCCGTCTGCGGAAATATTGTGTGTGGCTGAAGCGTGGACGTTGACCTTCTAACCATCACACGCCTTCAGCTTTGGATTCTTTAATATTGAAGAACCTGGAAGAAAGTCACGCCTAAAATGTCGCTTCACTGCACTGTTTTTATGAATGTTATAAAGTTGATGGAGAAACTGTGTTGTTAGCTGTAGTTAACCGAATATAAGGCCACTTTTACTTAAATTATCATTCATTAGCATGAACTTTATCGATTCACCGTATAGCGTCTAAGTACTGATAGGAGAAAAAAACTAAAAGTCGCGTCTACTTAGTGAGAATTACCCGTTATAGCAAAAAGTTCGTTGGTAAAATGTTTATTCCTGTTTAGGAGGAGAACTTAGAAACCATCTGGTTTGCTGGTTAAAATACCGGCCACAGGGGTTTGTATCGATTAGTGTAGGGCATACTCAGGTTAGTGAATGCCTGTAACGATATGCTATTTGTAGGTCTATATCGATCCATTTGTTGTGTTGTTGCAAAGGCGCACGAAAGTGAATGCCAGTTCGTGATGACCACAAAAATCCGGAAGAAAAAAGTGAAGGGAAAAGCGTGGACCAACGGCTACGCAGGCAAAATTATACATCCAAGCTTGAAAATGAAGGGCGATCGACAAACGACGGTTGTTCTCAGCGTAAAGGTGAAGAAGTCTGAAAACCAGGACTACGGGTGCATGACCAAGGTCTGGAGGCGCTGCGGACCATTTGTGTAAGCTTATTCACTGAAATAATTTGCCAAAAATTATTGGACATTCATTGACACCTTAACAGATTGAGAAACAAGTATTAATTATTGTGATATGCCTCTGTTCATTTAGAATGCGATTTTGTTATTGTGCGACCGAAATGTACAAAAGAGTGAACAGGAAGCGGAGTGTGGTACGATATGCAACAGTGAACTCAGTAGCTACTCTAACATAACCTACATTTCTTCATAACCTAACTGATCTCACTACTTAACACCTATTTCCTAAAATCCGTCCCTTAAGATAATCTCTCCACTCCGAAAAGATAGAACTGTCTGTCGGTGCATTTTCATAGCATGCAACACTTTATTATTTGCCCTTTGTTATCAGTATTTACGTGTAAGTACTCTGCACCAACATATTGTTTCGGTAGCCCCGATATGGTAATACTCAACAGGCAACACCATGATCAGCCCTCCCCCGTGACCAGATAAAGGGTGGTTACCGTCTTAGAAAAAACCGTGAATTTCACTTAAATGTTTATAACTTCATCAAACGTTTGTGCATAGGTATATAACAAGTGAATACCTGGTCCAAAATCCTCTAATCTCTCTATTTCGTGGTGATATCTTCGGCTTCAGACTAATTTTCATTACCGTCGTGCGCACCTTAATCTTTTTCCACCTAGGCTTACCTCTAAACAGTTGGTTCTGGATACTTCTTCGAGTAAGTTTTACAGTCAGTACAAAGAACTCCGCCAGATGTATTATGGTTGATCTACCCCTGCTTATTTTTGTGCTCCTGTTTCGAATTCCACCTGCTGCTCGCTTTTGTTATTCCCCTTTCAGGTTTACCTCACCAGTCCTGCATTCAAATGGAATCCTACAAATCGCATTAGTCAGTGGGAAGTATCGCCATCGAAACCCTATGACGAACGCGCACACCCAAGGTCATGACTGTGATGTGGCCACACCTTCGAGAATATTGGAAGATTCAAACGATAACCGAATGATCCTTAAATTCGAACTGAGCCTGCTTCAACACACCTCTGATATGCCATGAATAACGGTATCTAATGTATAGCCTAACATTGTACATAATAGTCATTTCTCATTACCAAAAAGATCAAACCCGTAAACTGGTTTGTGTTCATGTAACCTCTTTTGTATTATATATATTGTTAATGCTTACTGCAGTTTTATTGCTGCAAATTTTCAGCCATTACTAAGAAATGTTTTAAAGGTCTGAGTCGACTGCGTTTACCCTCATGGAAAATGTATCTGTGGTGAAGCTCAAAGAACTTAAATAATCCTTTTTAGTTCTTGAAATTCAGGCTCCAGCGGATCCCACAAAGTGATTACTTACTCAACCCGTGTCAGAAAACCGTGAAACTTTCAAGCACGCAGACCCTATCAGTGGTGCTTGGGGGGAGATTCTGCAGGTTATTGTTTCTGGTGGAGAGCAAGGAAAGTAGAATCTCTTCAGTGAGTTATGGGGCAGTGAGGCAATGAAGCTTATTTTGATCAACTGCTGATTTCTCTAAGTCTCTTGGTTGCAGATCCAGTATTATAAAAGTTGCCATGATGCTGTTTTCCTATCAACAGGACTGTTTCTTCCGCACGCACCTTCGTTCCCGTATTCTTTTTGATGACCTTTGTGAAGGAAGTGGAAAAGAGAACCTGTGCGAGCGAATAGACGATGTCATTCAACGAGTACTGAAACAGCACGTAAACCAATAAAACTTTTCATGTGTCCTTCTTGTTGTAGTATGGAGTCTATTAAAATTTTTAGCCATTGCTTTCCGCTGGTGAAAGGAAGTCAGTCAGTCACACACTGCGAAATAGCAGTCACGGATTTTTCACATGTCCTAATCATAAAGCGGGTGACAAGTTTGGAGTGGATATATACTTACCAGGCTTCCGCTGGAAGGAAGAAGATCACAACTGTTGGACATTGTGTACCTTAAGCTGTGATTCCAGCGCAAATCATTTAACAAAGTCACCCGAAAAGAAGACTCGAATTCGATTCTAAAAGGTGTGTGATAGCTGACCTGAAGGCTGTCTAAGAAAACACATAGGACCCACTTGTTGTGCTAGGTTTCTATGAAATACACAATACATAAATATTCAAACTACGAACTGTGGCCACAATTCTTCATACCGTGAATGTTGATTTTTGCTCAGCGTGGCTGAAGGGTGATATTCGAAGAGGATGAAAGCCTTTTGGCCTCTTGAAGTGACGTTTCTGATCGACGTTTTGGACTTAGCTATTTGGACTAAGCAAGCCTTCATCTAACGGTTCGCATGGTAACGTATGACTCATAAGGAAAGCGAAGTGCTGCAGTTTCGCGCCAAAGGTGACAATAGCAAATATTCTGCATGGGTCATCGCTAGGCATCCAGGCATCAGAAAACCAAACTTCACCTCATTTAGGGCCCTTACGAGTTATGCGTGAAATCAGTTTCACTGGTATGTTAATTACACTCGATTTCAACTTGCCTAAACTGTGTGCCACAAAATGGGCCTTTTGTCCTCATAATGTATTAATAAAGAATACTGCAATTTAACTACTTGTTGGAAGCTTTAGTCCCAGGCTTTTTTCTACAATCAAAGTGCGGGGACCTAATATACTACTTATTCGCTCAAGTTATGGTGGAGGAAGGACAGTTTGAACTCAGGACCCACTGCTTGGAAGTAAGTACCTTCGTCAATGTACCACGGCTTATTACGGACTAAGGTCGGAACGTGGACCCTAGGACTACGTAGCAGGGGTAACCAAGTGGAAACCGAAAACCTTGGCATCAATAGTGGGCCACATTTACACAGATATGGATACTGTGCTCCTTAGTCATCGGCGAGTGCACTATATGATTTGAACTGGCTACACAGTGTTACGCTTCCAGTTGTTTCTTTAGACAAAGTCTCAAAAACAAGAAAGTCCCGATATTTTCAGTAATAGCATCTCTGTAGTGTTTTAAGTTGTTTAGAGTGTGTTGGTTGGCACGATGTGGGATGGTTTTAGGACTTAGGTTAACACTAGAAGTTACGAGTAGGGTTGTCTGGGAGTCGATACGATGCAATCATATCCCTTCACATATTTCTGTACTGTACATACTACGAGTGCACTGCACTTAAGTGAACTAGTCATGTTTTATATCTTAACCCAACCATTTTCTGATTGTACATTACACCTTTTCCCAACAGCATTGTTTTGTAAATTCCATGTGGAACAACTACAGAAACTCAATTTTTCATCGTAATTATAATTGGTACCTATATATTCATATGTAAGAGTTTTGGATGACCAACCGTTTAGTGTTTTAATGTATTCAAGAAAGAGTACTTCTCTCTAAGGTTTTCTGCGTCTTATGAATATTTCGGAGATATGAAGGCGTTAATACTTATCGGAGGCTATGGTACTAGATTACGTCCGCTGACACTTAGTATCCCGAAGCCACTTGTTGAGTTTGCAAATAAACCAATGTTGCTACACCAGATAAAAGCTTTGCTTGAAGTATACTTTATGAATTGTTCTATATCTCGACAATAGGTTGACATTGATGAAATTATTCTTGCAATCAACCGGCAGGCTGAGTCTTTAGAATCAAGTATAAGAGAGCATTGTAATTCAGTGAGTTGTCACCATTTGCCTTTTCATGGTAAAGGTTATTCAAAACAGAAATGTAAAGTTGATTTTTTCATATGAAGACGAAGCTCTGGATACTGGTATTCTGTTTGGAATGTCTAATCTTTGTCCTTATAGGAGGTCCACTTGCACAAGCAGCTCCTTATTTGACAGGAGACAGGTTCTTTGTATTGAACAGTGACATTATTTGCAATTATCCTTTCAAGAAAATGATTGAGTTTCATTTATCTCATGGTCACGAGGGCACTATGACAGTAGATAATTTCAAATAAATCTTATAAATTTAGGTTACAAAAGTTGAAGAGCCATCAAAATATGGCGCTGTCGTACATAATGACCAAACTGGTCTTGTGAAGCGATTTGTTGAAAAGCCATCGGAATATATAGCTAACCGAGTCAATGCTGGTCTTTACATTTTTGAACCCAGCATCCTGAAGCGTATTGAGGTAATATTCATTGTAAATCCCAATATGTACAGGCGAAACCGATGTCCATTGAGACCGCTGTATTTCCTGCTATGGTGCGAGATTCTGAACTCTATTGCATTGAGTTCTCAGGTGAAATTTTTTCTTATCATCTATTGGTTTTCGTTTAATTTTATCTGATTACTCTTCCATTCGCTTGACATATATATATATATATATATATATATATATATATATATGCAGTTAGAATAACTGGTGGTCTTGTTTGATACTTTATTCTGCACTTATTTTCTACAGTGTAGCTTGCCTAGCTGAAGTCGCTGGTGATTCCGCGTTAAATATTGTGCTTGTTAGAGCTGAAGAGAAATCCATTAGTTGAACTCCTAGGTATAATGTATAAGTTCGGCGGCTTTTTCATCTACTTTTATTAGTATTTCTCTGGGCAGATGCCAACACTATTGGGTCATATCAGTTCATTGTAATCAGATCACTCGTGAATATGATCCACAGTGGTTTCATAGTGGCAGCATCTTAGACATGTGCGCTGACTGTAGTTCGGCTGTATCAAAAAAACACGCAGACAGTTTTATCCAAAGCCTCAAACTATTTCACAGTGTCAACTTTGCAAAGGATATTCAAGCGTTTTGAAGATATCATCTCAGATGTTATAGAATCAAGCATCACTGTGTAACACTGGTTAGTAATACTATCTCACTTGTTCGAAATCTGTTACTTCGTTTTCACATTAAACATTATGCTTGCCCATGTAGGAGCAGATTAATCAGGTGATATGTTTCAGATATTGTACCAGTAGAAATATCAGGGATTCTGTTGTGTTAATTTTTTTAACGATGGAATTAAAAATTCTATAATGCTTGAGTGACTCGCTGAGTAACCCCGAAACAGTTGATCATATTTTAAAGCCTTTAGAAAGTTATTCATCAATATTTAGGACGAAATTGCGAGAAATCGCATCACATATTGTCATTTTACTATATATATATATCCTGACTACGGACAATTTCAGTTTGGACGATGATCCCATCTGATGTTGTAATATCTATCTTGAAATGCTAATTAAACCGAGATTATTTGAAGAGAACCTAATGGCAACCAGCTCAAGACATAGTACTCGTAAACGAAATTTATGATTGACCCTCTGAAGTGTAGCTTGACTGATTCCGTGAATGGTTAGATATAAGGTGGCTTTTTTGAAGGTGGTATACTGGTTGGAATAAGTTTCTTCTATATCATAACACCTAAAGCTTTCTCATTTCCATCACCTTGAAATAGTCTTGTCTCACAGTTTTATAATAGAACAAAATGAAATATAGCTCAGTACACTGGCTTTTTAAATAGAGATTTAATATTACGATCATGAGTATAAGTATGTGACCACTCATAGGATAGTGCTGGCGCTACGAAACAGTTTGGTAGATATTTGTGTTTATGAGTTCATAGCAGCCCATTTGGCGATACAATGATGTCTGTTTTTGTAGGGGCTTTAAACGTATGACGAAAATACACAAAATTATAGCACATATGTGAATTAAAGATGAAGATAAATATTTATCATTTTTGTAGACTATATCATTTTTCAGTTAGTGAATTCTATAACGGATTCTCAATCATACTTATTTCTTGGTATTCTGGTGCAACCGACTATACCCACCCGATTAAATATCCTTTCGAGTTTATGAATGCATTTTCAGAAAAAATTAATCACCATATGTCGAGTTAAAAGACGATGAGTATTGATCCCGATGTTCAATTCCTGAGATTTGTACTGTAGTATTAAGGTACGATACCCAGATAACTGTAAAGCCTTACGGTTTTGATGATAATTGTCTTGCACGCTATTGTAAACTTACAAATAATTGTTATCTACAAAAATGGAAAATTGTTTTCCTCTGTTTTAGTAATGGTCTTTCATATAATTTAACGTTTATGCCTACTTTATTTTCCGGTCAGTTAAGTAGCATTTTCCAAGTTGTCTTTTTTATTTTTATTCTTTGTAAGAAGAAATTTTTGAGAAAACTGATTTGAAATCGAAGTCAGTGAACTTAACTCTTATGGCGAACAAAATTGCAAAACGTCGCTTTATGACGTTTATTCAATTTATGCAGGCAAGAATGTTGCATAAGTTTGTCAAATAAGTGTATTACTTCATATCGTTACCCTTAGAAGAGTTGTAATAGCTTGAAATTAAGATCAAACTTTTATTGACCTGTAACAGCAAGTTATAATAAATAAGTACTTTCTCACTCCATAGATTTTAGTCATGTCACACAAAATCTCCAACAAGTGGTTTTTAGCATATCATGGACTGTTAGCAAGAAACTTGAAAATGTCAACATGATCTGTCTGTATTATTTGTAACCACTTTTTAATTCATGGTTTCCGAATTTCCCTGAACATTAGCAACATATATTTGTGCCAAATTTTATGTTTGTCATAGTTTCATTTTTGCTGCTATTCATAAATATATTTCTCGTATATCAGTGATTTCGTTCAGTTGACTAGTTGTGCAGTTAGTTTGTAAAACTTAAATAATATCTAATTTTACATAAGGATTCTGGATGGATATTGGTCAACCTGCGGATTATTTAACTGGCATGCGGCTATATTTGGGTCATTTATATGAATGCAAATCATCTTTGTTAACGGTCGATCCTAAACTAATTGGGAATGTTCTTGTTGTAAGTTTTATAAATACATATTTCGCCTTGTTTATACATATTAATTTATGAATAACAACTTGAATTTGGAAGGTTTCTTGGGATTTACTCAGATAAGCAATAGTGTCAAATTTATTTGTCTTAAGGTGGAACTACTCGACCATTTCAATAAAATGTACATAAAATCCGAGCATCTCAATTGCCAGTAACACTCTATGAAACCTTGAAGTAATGTTAAATGGTATATAATTACTCTCATTTCCAGGCTTTTGCTGTGTCTATTAGGGTTTTGCTATTCATTTAGCTGTAGCTGTTAACAGTCAGTTACCGCACAGAATACTATAATAATCCAAGTGAAGTTTACTTTGTATGCATGTAACTCAATCCCCCTAAATTCATAAAGAAGAATTTATTTGCCAAACACAACAAATTCGTTTTTATCTTATGAATATTCTCTTTGAACTTAGTATATTTCATCGTACTCAGCATGCTACGGTTAGTGTCACGTTTATTCAGTCTACTTCAGCTGAGAGATCCATTTGTGTGACATTCAGTTCAGTGCACAAGTGCGTACGAGTCTGCATGTATGTACAAATGTCTTACATGTAATATTATCATGACTAAGAAATATAGGATCTCAGGTAAGAGGCTAATTTAGCTAGGTCATAGCAACTCTTTATTTGCCCAAAATCCGATCTGAACCTGAATGACGGGTAGATTGCTGTCCACCAACCCTCAACAAAGTTGATAAGGCTGTGTCAAACCTGATGTGATGTAAATCAGTATAACCTACCAGTTTGCTACCGTAAGTTTTCAAGGGTGAAGGTGGGGAATTCCTAACTGAAGTGATGGAGGTACTAGGTAGTGTATAGTAATCAAAGGCAATGCCGTCAAACTGGTCTACTTTTTTTTCATTACAGTGTATAAGAGGGGAGAGAAATCTTCTTGTGAAAACCATAAAGGAATCGGTTTAACTAACATCGTGTTCAAGATCCTAGGGTTCGTAGTTACCCGATGCCTAACTGGAGCTCGAGAAAACTAGGCAAATTTCAGACTGATCTAGACGAGGGCGTACCGATCATACTTTCACCCTCCGTTAGGTCCTGGGACACAGCGGTAATTACTAGAGGTTGACACATGCCATATTCCTCGATGTGTAGACCATGAAGTGTTTTGTGAGCGTATGACTGTGAAAGGAGTCCTGAGGAAGTATATGATGCTAATCAAATATTTCTACTCGAACTGACGGAGATATGTAAGAGCTTATGTAGAGCTGTCATGCAAATTAGCGATAACTAGTACTATCTGTCACTGATTGCCACTGTTACCGTTTCTAGTTAAATTCGTTATGGACGTACTAATGGATATAACCCTGCGTACGTCTAAGTTCACGAGGTTTGATCTACTCTCTGGAGGTCATCTGGTTGACTTGGAGTGTACAGAAGACATTGTCCTGGTGACTGGTAATGCTGCGAAAATTCAAGGTCTTTTGAATTCATTGGACATAAGGCTGAAAATGTTTGGTTTTCAGTTTCATACCTGTCAAATGTAAGATGATTTTTAAGGACTAGTATGTTACTGTTCCCAGTATAAGGATAAAGGATGAAGTGATGGAATGCGTCAACCACTTCACTTACCATGGGAGTTGCATCAGCTCGAACGGGCTAGTTGCTTACGAAATCTCATCTCATATACGAAGGCCCGCTCACCATTTGTCAGTTTGCGTCACCTTTGGCATCGAATGGTGAGATATCTGGCTACCCATTCAAGGATGAGTAAAGTTCTGTTCTGTCCTGTTATAATGCTGTGAGATACGACCGTTGAAAGTAGAAGATATGAAGGGATTACAGAGTTTTGATGACAGGTGTTTTCGCAGCATCGCTCACATGGTGAAATCATCATGTAAGCAATATCAGGGTTAGGAGAAGCGTACTGGGTAAAACAGGTAAGTCGATTGGTAAACTTGTTAACCTTCGTTGACTAAGGTAGCTTGAACATATGCTGTTCATACTAAGCTACCGCCTACCTTATCGTGCCGTGCTAGGGGAAGCTGGATTGTGTTGGAAGACGGTTCAGTGTGGCCAGACCAAGACGTGGCACCAGTCGATAAAGTATTTGACTTTTAATCTGAGCCATATGGGGAGATATGGCCTACATGGCTGCGGTACCCAAGACGCCATAAATCATTGGTTGAGGACTCTTGGTAACATGGCTGAAAATCGGTTACAATAGTTGAGATGTATTAACTTTGACATCTTTTAGAGGTTGAATGTTTTGAATAACCTTAATTTTTAAATTTACTGTCCTCTCATGCACCTTTGTCTACTTTGATATAAGTCTTTCCTACCCACTTGTTCTTCGTTTACTGCTGTGAATTGTGGCAATTTGAACCGGTGCACTTGCTTGGGAGATTCGAAGTTGATTTTATCTGTCTGTTAAGAGCTGTAGAACAACTTCACATTATATAAAGACATCTCCGTAGATGCGAGAATAAAATGCAGACTGATAAATTATTTTCTACATTTTATACAAGCAGAATAGCTTGTAGGGTGTTAAACATGACATATCTCGAAAGATTGTTTTGAGAAATCTATTTTCAACCTCAAGTATTTATTAACGAATGTCTAAAGTTGGGTTCAACAAGTTCTTAAGCTATGTGTAGAATTACTTTCTAACGGCTGGTGACAGATTAAGCTTGAACAGCATGAATACGAATCAATAACCATCTGTAGGTTGGTTATGAGCTAGTTACGTTGTATGATGGCCGATGACACTAACTGGATGCACGAATTTTAGTAGGTGAAATGTTGAAATCTATGGTCAATAAATTCAAAGTTGAGTACGTGGGCAGAAACATGATTGTGGAAGATTAAAGACGACTATACTAAAACTTGGCATCTTTAGACGATATGGCTGAGAACCAATCTCAGTGATGGAAATTCATAGTGGATTTTTGTTATTATTTTACCGCTTCTTTCTCTCTTATTGTAACCCTCTACGACTTATGATCATATTCTGTCTCCATATTTCTCTATTTTTGATCTTGTCACCATGTATCCTTATGTGAGGTGTTGAAACGCGAGCCGTTATGCAGTAACTCTATGTTCTGTGTTGATATTGACTGACTGACCTAAACCAGTCGATAACTTCACATGCTTTTAAGCCTGTGGAGAAATACTAAAACATGAATCCGTGATAGAAAACAGGGAGTGAAATTAAAGGCGTTGGCTATCTATATGTTGTATAAACTAGCTACAAGCTACTGCATAGAATGATTACGAGTAATATGTTGGAAAAGACAATTCAGTGTATTATTTATTATTCTAAAAATAGGCAGTTTTGACATGAACTATTTTCTTAGGTGGGTAATCTTTCTATCAAAGCGATAGTCATAAACTCTAATTCCTAAGTGAAATAAATTAAGTATTTATTACCGTTATGCTTACTCCTATGCATTTACTTTATTTCCAACAAAATATCAATAATAAGCATGAAACTGCAAAAATTGGTCAAGGTTGTCGCATTGGTCCCAATGTAACGATTGGAGCGGATGTCATTATTCAAGATGGTGTACGAATTAGTAATTCTGCTATATTTTCAAAGTCAGTTATTAAATCTCATGCATGGGTAAACAACTGTATTGTTGGATGGCGATCAGTTGTTGGAAAATGGGTAGGTCTATCTAAAATAGTGTAATTATGGTTCATAAGTTAAAAAAAGTTTTTTATTCGAGTGAATAACTGATTTTTATCATCGATTTTGTTACCTATTTCGCCAGTTTAGGAAAAGATCACTTAATTTCCATGAAAATATTTAATCGCTGTTGATGCATCAAGGCGATTAAAGATAAAAATATCGTCAATGAAGTGGAAATATAGTCTACCTGTTGGCCAGCAGTGGAATCCAGGAAGTTCGTCATCTGGATGTACCTGGCTCTCGAACCCAGTACCCATCGCTTCAAATGCCAAGGAAATATCCACTGTCTGCGGAGGTCCGGCAATTTGACCCTCAATAGCAACGGGAAATTACAAGTATCAATAAACAACAGCTGATACCCATTGCGCAAGTGGTGGCTGTCATAATTTATTGGCCTAATGGATAACACGGGGTTTGAAGCAATGGGTACTGGGTTCGAGTCTTAGCGGCAACAACACCACTCGCTGGGGTGCAGGCACATCCAGCTGACTAGTCCCAGATAAGACGAAACTTACGTCGTGGGTTCTACTGCCAGCCACCGTGAAGAGTAATGAGTATCCAGATGTTATTCAGGCTTCTTTATAGAAGCCTAGTCGCTAGCAGAGGTTGAAAAATTTGACCCAGTACAGCAACAAGATATTATAAGCATCAACAAACAATAAGTGCAAATGTATTGAAAAAGGTAAATCAAAGGTCAGATTGTGTCGATAAATACTGTAAATTAGCATTAGTGATAACATTGTAAAGTGAAGTGGAATAAAAAGTGGAACTCAAACAGTATTTATGAAGTCAATGTAAACACAATGAAACCAATATTTTGGATGCATTCAAAGTCTTATACTACTGAAATGTATATATTTCATTAATCATTAGTTTAGGGCTACTCTTATTTCATTATTATCAGACATGATAAGCTCATTATACAGATTTTCTTAATGTGAGATATAAAACTTTATCAAGTGTTCATGAGATCATTATTTAGATATGAAATTTCTTGATTGTTTAATACAACAGTGGTGGCATACTTTGCACTTGGTCAACTTTGTATTGAATTTCATGTTTTGCTTGATAACTAATTTTTATGTCATAAATAATATTTGATCAGTAGACCAGACTATCACTTTGTCATTATCAGTCCTTTGAACTTGTAATTATTGTTATGAATCCGGACTGGAATATACTGAGTCTCAGATAAAATTCACTAGACGAAATCAAGATGAAGTTGTGATTTTTATGTTTTTGAGATGAATAGAAATTTTAATTTAGAGGTAGTATTCATCATGAACTGATGTCAGTTGGACTATTGAAAACCTTAGAGCATTGGACAGCTGTGTATATCATCCTAGTATGGGACTCTCCAGCAATATGCACCCACGACTCATCTAGGGACCGAACTCAGGACTTTCAAGCTTCACGGTGAATGTGTAAACCATTCAACCACTAGTTCAGAGTTCAGTGGTTCACAGTGTCCTACTTCTGTCAATTCACGATATACCACAACTATCACCCAAGGTCTTCTGTTGGTACCCACTTCCCTTCCCACTGGTCATAGCTTCTCATTAGAACTTTGTGATATCCATCTGAAAGTATGTCACTAGTGATCACCATACAATAAAGTATTTTTTAGATGGATGGGGATTTTAATTTAGAGGTAGCATTCATCACGGACTGATATCAGTCTTGGGACTGTTGAAAACCTTGGAGCATTGGACTGCTGTTTCGTCTTAGTATGGGACCCCTCGTGGATGCGTTCTGGTGAGAAGTGTCGTACGAGGAAGAAACAGCTATCCAGTGCTTCAAGGTTTTCAATGATTCCCTGACTGATGTCAGTCTATGATGAATACTACTTCTAAATTAAAAATCCCCATTCATCTCAAAAGTACATTAATTACTAAGCGTTTGAAATATCGGTTTGCAATTGATGGATTTATTGTCACTTGTAGTTGATAAAGATTTGAGGTGAATAAACGTGATACAAATGGATTCTTCTGTTAAAATGTACGACTGCATTTCTTATTATTGTTTGATACTTGTAATCTCCTGTTGCTATACTGAGTCAAATCGCTCGATCAACGGTATATATGCTGTTATGCGGATGCTTTGATGCTACGTGATTACTGATTACTTTGTTGTTTGGTTGGTGGCTAGCAATGGAATCCAGGGTGCAAGTTTCTGGTAATCACCATCTGGATGTATTTACCTCCCAGTCAGTGATGTTATTCTCAGCGAGACTCGAACCCAGTACCCATCGCTTCAAACGCCAAGGCGTTATCCATTAGACCTTTGTGGTATGCGAGCTACCTCTTGTGTATTTGTTCTTTTTTATTCATTTCTACAATGTAAAATAATGGTTTTTTCCTGAAAATATTTTCACCCTTTAGGTGAGAATGGAAAATGTTACAGTTCTAGGGGAAGATGTAACTGTAAAAGATGAATTATTCCTTAATGGAGCGCTAGTTCTTCCACATAATTCAATATCACACTCTGTGCCGGAACCTCATATCATTATGTAACTATTACATTTTGACTTCAAAAACATTATTTTTTAAAGAATGAATACGGTACAATGCATCCTTGCATATTTTTATCTAGTCATTGTTTAAATCCGAGTTTTTATCCACTTTTTCTTGTCTATAAAAACTGTAATCTTCATTGACTTACAACACATAACTTTCACTTACTTTTTTCCTTCCTTTATCATTTCCACTGGCTTTGCTTTTTAAAAAAAAATATATTTATGACCAGTGATTATCTTTTGCTAACTTCCTTTTAGAATTCAGGATTTGCTCATCTTTTTTTGTTCGCAAATATGTGTTTATACTCTATCCTTTATATATTTTTAATGCTTTGAAATAACATAGGATAATTATCAGTGTATGTTTTATACATATATATGATGAGTGTGCCTTCTTTTTGATACTCATATGTTGTTGTTAATTGTCTGTGTATCATTGAGTGCTAGGATAGTTCTTGATATGGAAAATGTAATTTGTTTTTACGAATTGACGGGTATAATCATTTTAGGTATTTTTCTTAAGTGGAGACTTGATGGTATGTCACAGAATCGAATGTAGCAGCACAGATACACCTATGTCATGTACTTCTTGTTAGCTGTTATGTGACGTCCTATTATTTACTCTAACCCGTTTTTTTATTCATTTTGTGACTGTTTATAACTTCTACTATGTTATTTCCATCTTGTCTTCCGTCTCGCGATGTGGTGATGTAAAGTATGGTAGCTTGAACCTTTATACAGTAGTGCCATATCTCATGTTAATATTAGCTAACTGTTAAGTGGGAAAAATATAAATAAATAGTTTATCATACCTGTGTTCTTCAGTTTGATATCTAATAGACAGTTGCCACAAGACGATTGGACGTTTCTAGTAAAACTATGACACGTCGGTATAGGCACTTGGATTTTGATAAATGGGTTACGGATTCCAAAACCAGTCCACATTATTAGCTTGTGCACCGTAGGTGTGGCTTGTAATTTAGTGAAAGAGCTCATGAATGTTTTTGCTGCATTGCCTGCATTTGTTTTCAACTTGCTTTAGGTAGACTCGGATAGTTTTGTGATTTATATTCTTCATTCATTATCTTACTTAGGAAAACATAGTCCACTTTTATCTTAACTTGACAGAAACAGTGTGCTTGTTTAACTTTAACGGAGATTTATTTATTAGACGGGAAGTATGTTACACACACCTAGTCACTTTTTACTCTGTTGTGAAGTGTCAGCTGGAGTTGGTTTACGTTGGAAAAAGGTAAATATGGGCAGAATGAAGCATGCCATCAGTTGAGGAAGGCTCATACTATTCATCTGAGCCATGTAGATAAATGCAGACTTCCGGATAGGGTTTCTCACAACAACCGAAATCGACGAGTAGAGAGTGTAGGTGATATGGCTCAGGATCGATCTCAGTGGTGCACGTGCAAACATTATTACTGCGATCATATTATTATTATACTGTAATTATCCTAGTAGTCATATCACATTTCGTTAGACCCTGTTCGTTTAATTTTCTACGATTACTGATTGCATTTCCTGTCTTTGTTCATATTTCAACTTTTTTCCTGAGATCTAGTAACTTAAACCGGTATTCAGCACTGCCTGGCCCCATGTTGATATTGACTGATAGTTTCTAATTATTTTTGCTTTAATAAAGGGAAGCTGGAGAAAATTCTCATCATCGATAGATACTGAATGTACAGGGATTTTTAACCATGTTTGTAGACAGCATTTGATTTCTACTGTTCTGAGATAGGTTTTGTGGAATCAAAAATGCTGAAAAACTTCTGAGGGAAACATTACATGGTGGTGTTGCTTACGCTTTTTCCTAAACTGTCGCATCAACTGCTACAAAGTTTGTTACGTGTTGTAGATCGTTATGAAATCTCTAAACTGTAGATAAGCACGCTATCACTGTATTACGTGTTCGAATATAATTCAAATTCGCCTCCTTTATTTTTAAAAATAATAATGGTTTTCTTCTGAAAGTTATTTTGAGAATACTGTACCGAGTTTTCAGCATGTCATATAGCACCAATTGACTAAAAATAGTTTATATATATACATAATAAAATGAAGCAAACAGAAATTGTATAATGTAAAAGATGAGCATATTTACTCCATCTGCAACGTTAACTTAGGTAAATAGTCATATTACTAATCGAATTCTTAATATATAAATAACAGCAAAGTGTGTAATGTTTCAATTGGTTTGCTTTATAAAACAAAAGTTGACTACTTAGTTAATTTCTTACAGTTTCTTTCTCGCACAAGATACGAGCTAAATACGGTATGTTAGAGATTTTATATTGTGTTATGTGCATAAAGTCTTATATACTTTTTCCTGGTCTTGTTTGAGGACCAACATAAAAAAAGAATGCAAGTCATCTGACTAATTAACTCCTGCCAGATGTTTACATGAGTTAAGATGTTAGTTCATAACGGTTTCAATTAGAGGGTTTATAGGCATACCACGAGTTCTGCTGTAATACAGCTTAGTTTTTTCCACCAGCTCAGGAAAGAATAAAGGGGAACAGTAGAAGAGAATACGTAAGATGCATGAGTTCATCAAATAAAAGAGAAAAGGATGAGTTATACTAGATACTCTCAGCTTCCTAATATGGTAAGTTAGTCGAAGGTTCTTTTAGAAATTAGTAAGATATAGGGGAGCAGGAGAGGTCAGAAGAAAAAAAACACTCCGAGATGAATCACAGTCGTAACATTCTCCAGTACATAATAATAATAATAATTCACTTTATTCCAAACAATTTGTGGTACAGTTTGGAATTCTCAGCGTAATATATATTGCAATAACAACAAAATATAAGTATATACATACTACTTTGCAGCCTCTCGAATTGTTTTATTATAAAAATTTAAGTTACGTGAAGAATATTAAAAACGAGAAAATTTTGCATTGTAAGTTAAATTATTGAAATGAGATTTTTAACTGTCACAAAGTTGATGTGTGATTTCTGTTCTAACACGTTTTTCCTCACAAAATATGCGTGCAAGGTAAGGTACAGTCGAATTCTTATACTTAGCTGTGCCAGCATACAGTCTTATGTAGTTTCTCCTTGTCCTCTCTGAGGAGATACATGGAGAGAGCTGTAAATGAAGTGGATGCTCACTGTCAGTTAAAATTTCTGTAGCTAGTAGCTTGCAGGAATTTATATGTCGATCAACTACAGTGTTAATCAGTTGAGCCAGAGACACACCACTCACCCTGCTGACGGTCTTCAAAGCCCTACGCAACATAACATAGTCCTTTTTAAGAAGACCAGGAAAGATTAATGGGGAACAATATAGAAGAATAGGTAAAATGCAGGAATTAATAAATTGTAAAAGAAGCAGTTGAGTTATACCAGAAAGCCTCAATTTCTTTACGTAATAAGTTGAACGAAAGATTTTTTTACAAGTCAATAAAATATGGGACGACCAACAAAGGTCAGAAGTAAAACGCAACCCAAGATAGTTCACACTCGATTTACTTTCTGCAGAAATACCATTGATGCAGCAGGCGTCATGAGATTTAAGCAGCTCACATAAGTCTTGTTTACGCCTGTGGCTGAAATTAACGGTCTGACATTTAGAGGGGTTTAGTTTGAGACCATTTGAGAGAGACCATTTACCAACTTCAGACAAGAATTCATTTAATTTCGAGCAATCCAAAGAAGAGTTTACTGGAATAGAAATTGTCAGGTCGTCAGCATACTTGATAAAATTAGTTTCAACAGAATAAGGCAAATCGTGCAAAAAAAGGAAAAGAGAAAAGGAGAAAGTACAGCACCTTGAGGCACACCAGCTTCAGTAAGCAATGAAGTGGAGCGCATTCCTTTATGAATAGTGTACTGTTTCCTTTCAGAAAAATAAGAATGCAGCCATTTTGTAACCCATGGATCAGTGTGAGCTATGGCAAGCTTATTTAACAAAAGTGGTCTAGGAACAGAGTCAAAGGCTGATGAGTAATCCAAAAAGGCACAACGGACATACTTAACACCTTTGTCGAGACTAGAAACAATATTATGATGCAAGACAGTAGCTGCATCTAAAGTACTCCTCCGGTGTTTGTAAGCAAACTGTTTTGGATCTCTGAAGGCCATCAATGAAGGCTCAATCACAAGCAGAAGTAATTTCTCCATTGCCTTCAGAAAAGGGGAAGTTATAGCGATGGGTCGAAAAGTAACATCTGATCCAGAAGATGGCTTAGGCACAGGTACAATTTTTATCTGCTTCCCAGCAGTGGGTTTTATGTTTTTAGAGAACGATACATAGCCATTACATACTGACACAATTTTTAAACCTTATTCCTAGTTTCATATATATATATATATATATATATATATATATATATAATTTATATATATATATATATATATATATATATATATATATATATATATATATATATATATATATATATATATATATAAGGAAACCTAATTTCACTGATAATCTTAAGTTACTTGACGCAAATCTATTCCATCATTGGATACATTTATATTCTTGTCTCTATCAGAAAATTGTTATGATTTGAAAGACCATCATAATCAGCTGTTAGCTATACACAAAGGGAAAAATGTTTAATTGATATCGGAAATATAAGAATATCGTATTCAACATTTTTGCCATTGAAGCATCAATGGAATTAACTCCAAAAGCATAACCATTTCACTATCAATTTTGGACACCATAGAAATAGGTAAACACAATGAATGCAAAACTACATTGCATTTACCAGTAGCACAAAATGATTTGACCAATTATGTATTGGTGAACATCATAACCTAAAAAATCTAGCCAACCATACTTCAAATTTTAAGTGTTTTTAGAATGAGGCAAACATGCTAGTTACCTAATTCAGATATCATCAGAATCAACATCGAGAACTGATGTAAATTAAAAGTTGGTGTCAACGTGTTTAGAGGTGGTCGTAATAAATTTGCAAGATTGTAGATGAAGCTACAGTTCCAGAAGATATTCAGTTGCCGATCAAACGCC